GGGGGGGGGGGGGGGGGGGGGGGGGGGGGGGCAGTTTGCCAGCAACACTGTTTATGGTGGTGATGGTGTGCTGCTTACCTCAATACAGGATGTTGTAGATCGGTGGGCAGAGTACTTCAAAGACCTCCTATATCCCATCAACATGTCTTCCCGTGAGGAAGCAGAGTTTGGGGACCATGGGTCGGGTTCTCCAATCTTTGGCGCAGAGGTCACCGAGGTGRTTAAAAAGCTCCTCGGTGGCAGGGTGCTGGGGTGGATGAGATTTGCTCAATGTTCCTTAAGGGTCTGGATGTTGTGAGGTTGCGTTGATTGATGCGACTCAACCATGGACATCGGGAGACAGTTCCCCTGGATTGGCAGACTGGGGTGGTGGTCACCCTATTTAAAAAGGGGGACTGCAGAGTGTGTTCCAACTATAGGGGGATCAYACTTCTAAGCCTCCCTGGTAAGGTCTTTTCAGAGGACCTGGAGAGGAGGGTCCATTGACTAGTCGAATCTCAGATTCAGGAAGAGCAGTGTGGTTTTCGTCCTGGTCGTGGAACAATGGACCAGCTCTACACCCTCAGYAGGGTCCTGGAGGGTGCATGGGAGTTCACTCAACTGGTCTACATATGTTTTGTGGACTTGTAGAAAGCGTTTGACTGTGTCCCTCTTGGACTTCTGTGTGTGTGTGGGGGTGCTCCGGGACTATGGGGCACCAGGCCCTTTGATACGGGCTGTTAGGTCCCTGTACGACCACTGCCAATTTGGTCCGCCTTGCCGGTAGTAAGTCGTACTTGTTTCCAGTGATAGTTGGACTCAGCCAAGGTTGCCTTTTGTCACCGCTTCTATTCATAACATTTATGGACAGAATTTCTAGGCGCAGCCGAGGTGTTGAGGGGATCCGTTTTGGTGACTTTAGGATCGCATCTCTGCTTTTTGCAAATGATGTGGTCCTATTGGCTTCATCAAATCATGATCTCCAGCTCTCACTGGAGTGGTTTGCAGCTGGGATGAGGATCAGTGCCTCCAAATCCGAGACCATGGTCTTGAGCCAGAAAAGGGTAGAGTGCCTTTTCCGGTACGGGGAAGATGTCCTGCCCCAAGTGGAGGAGTTTAAGTATCTCGGGGTCTTGTTCCAGAATGWGGGAAGAATGGAGCAGGAGATCAATAGGCAGCTTGGTTCTGTGTCTGCAGTGATGTGGGCACTATATGATCCGCCGTGGTGAAGCGAGAGCTGAGCCAAAAGGTGAAGCTTTTGATTTACTAGTCGATCTACTTTCCAACCCTCATCCATGGTCAGGAGCTTTGGGTAGTGACTAAAAGAACAAGATCACAGATACAAGGGGCCAAAATAAGTTTCTTCCGCAGGGTGTCTGGGCTCTCCCTTAGAGACAGGGTGAGAAGCTTGTTCATCCTGGAGGAACTCAGAGTAGAATCGCTTCTCCTCCACATCTAGAGGAGCCAGTTGAGGTGGTTCATCTGGTTAGGCAGCCTCCTGGACTCCTCCCTGGTGAGGTGTTCTGGGCATGTCCCACTGGGAGGAGACCCAGAGGAAGACCCAGGCAATGCTGGAGGGACTATATTTCTCAGCTGGCCTGGGAACACCTTGAGATTCCCCAAGTCAAGCTGACCCAGGTGGCTGGGGAGAGGGAAATCTGTGTTTCTCTGCTTAGGCTGCTTCCCCCGCAACATGATCCCAGATAAGCAGAAGAAAATGGATGGATGGATGGATGGATGGATGGATGGATGGATGGATGGATGTGCTGCCATGAAATTATGATTAATCTATGCTCTTCTTTAAAATAGTGCACAATGTTTCTCATTACCACCTCAAAAATTCACATTAGAAAATTTTTGGATTGGATCTAACTATAACCAGGCATGGAACACCACTCCAGCAACCTTGGTCATCTTATGGCTATTAGCTTTCCTTTAATTTTTTGTCTTCCTTCCTCTTTTCATCTTATTTTTTCCCCTTCTCTTCTCTGATGTCTTSTCTTTTCCATCTGCCTCACCCCATGAGCCAGAGAAGCCAAATAGAAGCAGGAGTGCCTTGTTTTCTGCTGGTTCTGCAGTATGGAAGGGAAAGCAAAGGCGGAGAAAAGATAGGCATGTGAGACAAATGTCCAGCAAGTGAGCGCTAGCAGCATTTAAGTAGAGAGCCAGTGCCAGGAGAAGGAATGCAGTGATGCATTATGAAAGCCATAAGATATATTGTAGGTACAGCTGTGTGAGAGATAGAGAGCAGCCATATGTAAAAGATGCTAATAATCATATTCATATAATCACATTCATCTCACATACAGAGATAAATTATGAACAGAAAAAAATGTACTTGTAATTATTTAAAAAATGCTATTTTACTTTTTGTTTTCAGTGATTATATGGTAGATATAGAAATTCTCTAAAATCTGTCCCTTATGAAAACCTATCTTTACCCCTTCTTATTATTATTTTGTTTCTACAAAATGCTTTAKTTGCACAAAAGACGAGCTTTCATTCAACCTATGTCATGTATAAGGCCCAATATTTAGAAGAAGGAAGACTAAAAAAGCCCAGCCAAAGTAAATAATACCATTCTTAGTCATAGTTTGTGTGATATTTGGTCAGCATGAGGCCAAGTGTTTCTCTATACACCTGATTCTGTACATGCAGTGAGCTCCCATTTTAAAACTAATTTGAGTCGTTTTGGGTGGAGGAAATGAACATGCATGTGGAGATGTTGGACTTTTAGTGGGTGTAGGTCAGATAGGACAACATATGGGCCAAATTTCATTAAGATCTAATCATGTTATGGATGTACAGTATAGGCATTTGTCAGAGCTAAACAACAAAGAAAAATCTTAAGTTCCTACGTTGAATCGTACTTACCCAGTRTGTACCAGGTAAATACTCTGTTGCTAGTGATGTTTTCATTTTGTCTTGCTACATAAATTGCATAATGTAAATAAAGTTTCAACTTTTGTTTAGTTGACTTGTATTGACTTGTGTCATGCAGTACTTTATTAATTTGTTCTTTTTATTCTTCGTCTAGGAGGGTCAAGAGCTGATTCAGGAGAAGCCGGAGTTGCGTTCGGTCGTGCAGCAAAAGCTGGAAGAGATCAGGGAGTGCTGGTCTGACCTGGAGACTACAACCAAGGCAAAGGCCCGCCAGCTTTTTGAAAATAACAAACCTGAGCCAGCAGTCAAGAGCTATTCAGACCTTGACAGTCAGCTATCTCATTTGGAGCAGCAGCCACCCCAGCTAGAACAGGCACATCATCTGCCCACCTTTAATGAGCAACTACAGAAATTCCAGGCAAGTATCAATGCCCTACTGGGTGACTTAAAAAAAACTATTGACAATGTTGTTTCTTTTGTTGTAGTGCTCCAAAACCTCACATTTTAAGGGTATCTTTTTAGAAGGAAATGCAATATACCTGTTATTAAAGCCTCCACTTTCTGATTGTTGACTGACCTCTGCATATCATGTAATATCAGAATCAGAATTGCCTTTATTGTCATTATAATTTGCATTACAATGAAAATGGGTCTGCTGCTCCTAGGTGCTTGTTTTTTTAGACAAGATAAATTAACTTTAGGAGAGTAGACCAGAGATTCTTAACCTATGGGCTGCGAGCGCCACCTCAAAAGAACAACAGTTTTTAACTTTGGGCCGCAGAGGGCCGTAGGACCGCATTGATTTTGAATAAGGTGCAATACACTTTCTCACCACTAGCAGTGATAGTGCGCCACTCAGATGTTTAACAACTTAGTTAATATGTAGAAGAACCTTAGAAACCTGCTGAGTATTGAAAATAATTTTAAATTAAAAGTAGAAGCAAAAATGAAGGTAATCGATCAAAAAACACCAAAGTTTGTCACTAATATGAAGAACAGCTTCTG